TTGTTAAAGGAGAAACAAATCTCTAATAATTTTTAATAATAAATTATATAAACAGCAGTGATTAACTCTTTAGATATAAAAAAAAAGGACACATTACGGGCGCCTGGGTGGCTCGGTTGGTTGGGCGTCTGCCTTCGGCTCAGGTCATGATCCCAGGGTCCTGGGATCGAGCCCCGCATCGGGCTCCCTGCTCCACGGGAGGCCTGCTTCTCCCTCTCCCACTCCCCCTGCTTATGTTTCCTCTCTCGCTGTGTCTCTGTCGAATAAATAAATAAAATCTTTAAAAAAAAAAAAAAGGACACATTACAAGATCACAAACAAAATTAACAGAGAAAGTCTGACCCCATGTTATGAGAAATCCTTAGTTAAATCCTCAAATGGACCTCCCTAACACTGTACTGTATTAGTATTTGTTCTCATGGTGACAGATAGGTCTAATGGGTAATCAAGATATGCCAAGATTAGTACTGTTTGCTAGAAGATGGGTTATGTAACTACATGGATGCCAAGTAAGAACTCTCCTTTACTGTAAACCTCTCACTTAAAAGACCAAGTTTAGGGATGCTGCATATTTGCCTGCTTTGGTACATATAATTCCAGATCAGGGAGAACTGCCCCTTTGTGTTTAAAATAACGCAAAAAAATGAAACATATAGTTGGATGACACTACAGAGAAAGTCATTAAATGGTCTAGAGTTCCCCATTGCCACTCTAAAGATTTTATTTATTTGACAAAGAGAGACACAGTGAGAGAGGGAACACAAGCAGGGGGAGTGGGAGAGGGAGAGGCAGGGTTCCCGCTGAGCAGGGAGCCAGACGCCAGGCTTGACGTGGGGCTCGACGTGGGGCTCGACGTGGGGCTCAACCCCAGGACACTGGAATCGTGACCTCAGCCGAGGGCAGATGCTTAACGACTGAGCCACCCAGGAGCCCCGACCCTGTTGCCACTCTAGAATGCTATACTAGTATTCTCTACCAGTTCATCAGTAGGTTAAGGAATAAGATACTTTTTGAATCCCATGCTCAATCTGGGCAAAGCACTCAAAGTGGTACAGAACTATCTGGATATGATTAAAATCACATTTAAAATGGGATAAAGACTTCGTGAAGAAATTTGATTCATCTCTGCCTCTCAATATCCTTAAAGTTCTCTGTCATTGAACTTTATTTTTTAAGTTAAGCCTGGGTCAATCGAGAAAGGGGAGGTACTGCTAATTTTAGCAGGTCCTAGAATATATAAATTAACATATTTTTAATGTACTGTAATTTTTAAATGATCTCTAATGTGTTATTCACTTGTCCAAAAGATTAATTACACTAATGAATTTCAGGCACATAACTCTGTTTGAGCTGATCTAGGTTTCCTAACAGGCTACTGAAGTGCTTGCTTGATGTTCAACCCACGGGCTCTATCTTATTCAAACTCTCTTTAGAGCACTTGTCAAAAAACTAAGGAGTCTCACCTACCTTGAGTTCTAAGCTCTTGAAACATTTAAAAAAAATTGTTCCCCAATATTAGTTTCTTCTGTTTGTGATATCAATGTGACTCAGATGCTTATCGAGTTTAAATAATTTTCCAGAGATCTGGCTGTTCAAATCACCAAATAACATCAAATAAACTAATAGTCCTATTGTGCAAATATGAAACTTGAATTTGTAAAACACAGAACATATGTTCATGTGATTATAAGGTTAACCCACTTACAAGATACTCCTCATAAAGTATTTTGTAATTCAACAATTCATATTCAAAATTAGTTTCAATACTTCATTACTAAGGCTAAACATGTTAACCACTATAACAACCTCATTATCTACTTCCAAAAAATAAAACCTCTAGGCAAGTTATTACTACACCATTTTTTATATCCCTGCTAAAACCCATATATATTCACAAATGTATTGTTTATGGTAGGCAAAATGTGATTTTTTAAGGCTTCAAACGTATCAAGAGAAAAGACACAAATTTATATTTCATGCAATGCTAAGTTACTACCAGAAAATACAATTCAACCCTAAAACAAAAGAAATCATGGGAATAACCACTAGTTTACTAGAATAGAGAAATGTAGTTTTATTTGAAAACAACAAGATACTACTCAAGTGCAATGAAACATAGTAAGATAGCTTAACTTCTCAAAGATTCTCTATTTTCCAAAGCTGTTCCCACATCTGGGGTGTGAATATCATTAGTATCCCAATGGATTTATATACTTTTATCTGATAATTCCATTCATCTGCAGGCAAATCAGATCTATGACTTAACATATATCACTATTCCCCAGATAAGGATAATTACAGCTTGTGAAGAAATATGACACATGCATCTTATTTGTTCTTGCTCTTAGTTTTAAAACCTTAAAATCTTTAGACAAGCACGAACATAAATTATCTGAAGAACTCATCACTAATGAATTTATAAAGTTGGAGATTACAAGAAAAGAATGGAAGACGTGTACCCAACTACCTGCATACACTTTGCAGGAAGAAATGCAACATCTTAATTAAATTTCAGATAAACTAAGCCCTCAGTTGGATGTGAATCTTTTAGCTGAAGTTGTTACCATAGATGAGACACTATGTTTTGTTGAATTGCAAACATTTTTCATTACTGAACTTTTGATGCACCTAGTAAATAGCAAATCACAGCAGGGGGTGTAATTGTTTTGAAAATACTGTTGAAAATAGAAAGGAAATTTTCAAACAAGCTGCTAGTATCTCTAAATAGAAATTCAACATCTTGTTAAGATTTGAGCATTAATTATAAGCTGGCTAAAATACAAGAGTGTCCAGGTAGACCTCAGGATAACTCTAGAGAGTCATACAAACGTGATGTTAGCACCAGGTATGTTTGATGTTATAAATCACACATTGTTAAGAGAAAGGCTAGACTATACTACTATTGATTTACAATAAAGGGGCTCAAAGAAGGAACACTGTCAAGGGAAACACCAAGACCTCAGCATTTAGCTCTCTCTAGAGATGGCAGACCAAATTACACAAATGCCACACAATTTTCATTTGTTTGAAGTCTAAGTTCAACATTTCTGTTAAACATTTTAAATAGTTGTGAAGAAATCTATGATGTGGTCATTGCCGTACTAATTTTTCATGGTGTTGAGAACTCAGGTAGTACTCCCGCTTTTCAAACGAGGTTAACAAGATTGTGTAGTGGCTAAAGGATCTAATTTTGGAGTCCAGCAATCTGGGGTTCTAAAACATTAACTGGAAACTTTCCAAAATGTACATGTCTTTTCCAAAATTTACATGTCTTTTTCCTTATTGACAAAATGGAGATGTAAGGATGTTGCCTTCTTGGGGATGTTATGCATTTACAGGAGCTGTAAAGCCCTTAGTATGTTGCTTAGTGTGCAGTGAATGGAAAAAAAATGTTTGATGTCATTATTACTATTGTTCTTGTTGTCAAATGACCCCAAAGGTCCTTCAGCCACTTTGTCACAGAACAAAAACAGTCCAGACATCCTATATTTTGGCCTAGGTTCCTTTTTCCTAACATAGCAAGCTCCCAGCACTTTGTTTACTGGAATCTAAGATAATACATTAACTCAAGATGTTTGCCCATTCCCCCAGTCTATGTTTTAGCTCCATGGATAGAGTGTTCAAGTTAATTTCCGAGGAACATCTGGAAGGAAATGTGAAGAAATTGCAGCAAACCCCAGACACGCTGTGCTGCATCAATCTACATAATTTGAAATGACCCATATTTGCCTTTCATGCTTACAGACCAAAGATTATAGTGACTAAATTACCCAGTACAGGGCAAGGGTGACATGAAAACCCAGAGGGAAATAAGCCTTTCCAGTTGGTTTCAGAGAACACAGTGAATCAGAATTGACTGGACATGAAAATCACTTTTAACAGACAGCTAGCAAACAGCCTCAAGAGAAGAGAGAGAAATTTCCCCCATGACATCCCCAGAAAGCACCACAGGACTGTCATAAAAAAGCACTAGCTCCAGGGTCCTTGGTTACACCTACAGAACACAAAGTAGTCTTCAAAGTCAGTTCAAGATTCCAGAATTTGGGGATGCTCAAACACCCATGAACATTACATCCTTGTTTCTTTAGCTGCAGCTCAAGCTAACGCAAACATCATCTACAGAAATGCGTGATGCAGACAAGTCTGAACTGTAAGGGGGACAGAGGGAATTGAGCATTTCACAAGGGGCGATACTGTATTGGGCGAGGCAGTTTTCCTCTGACCCCAATTTACACCCACAATAAAACTTCTCCCCACATGCAAGAAGTCACAAGGTATTCTCACCCTGTGTTCTCTCTTCGAACTCAGTCCCCTGGACCAGGAAGGCAATCAGATCCCAGATCCCGGGACACTGATTTACCCTTAACCTCCCAACTCCACCCTAAATGTTAAAATTATTCCCCTGGAGGAAAGCTTCCTATAACACTGTAGCTCCCCACACTGCGCGCAAATCCTGTGCATCCTGAAGATCTTGAAAAGAAACAAAAAAAGAAAAAAAAAAAAAAGACGAAGAAGGAAGAAAATAAAAAGACAATCATGAAGCTGGCCCGCTGTGCTTTCTTATCCCAACAACTTCGCCAGGTTTCCCGAGGAGGGAGCGCGCCCCCCCCACACACACACCCAATAGGAGACAGGCCCATCCTCGGTGGCCCAGCCCTCGACTCCCGCCAGAGCCTGGCTGACCCTGTCGCCCCCCCCCACCGCCCCGCTGCTGCTTCCTCTGCCCCTGGTTTCAGTCAGCGGGAGCCCCTCAAGCTCTGCGCTCCACAGTCCGGCCCCCACATCTACCTCACCTCTCTGCTGGGCGCTGAGCGGAAGAGGCATGGGGGCAGACTGACCGTATGGGGTACACGGCAAAGGGGGACGTCCCGGGTGTGGACCCTGCAAATGCCCATTCCGTGAGCCTCACCTCTCGCGGGGGCACAAGCTCAGCACCCGTGCCCAGCACCCCAGCCAACTCCGCCACCTGAACCGAAACACCTCTCTTGCGCTCAACTTACCGTGGCTGGGCTGAGCTTTCGTCACCCCCAGCAGCTTTTCTCTTCTTCCTCCCGCCGAGCCCTTCATCCTCCTGCTGGCGGCCGCTCGGCGCCCTGGCCCTGGCATCGGGAGGAGCAGGGGCGGCCGCCCGGGCTGGCTGGCCCCGGGGGCGCACAACTGCCCGCCTGCAGCTTCGGTGGTGATAGTCACCACGAGGCGAGGCGTGAGCGGCTGCTGCGGAGAACAGTCCCTGAAGCAAGCGCCACGCGTGTTGTCCCTCAGGCGCGGGCTGGAGGCGGCTGTCAGCGTGCCTCTGCTTCCACCGCACCCGGTGGCACTCCGCACGCGTCCGGAGCCCGAGCCAGCCTCAGGTGCACCCAGCTGGGGAGAGGTGCAAGCTGGCGCGGAGGGAGGGGCCGGCCCGGGGGTGCCCAGGGAAAGAAAGAAGACTGAGGAGAGAGAAAGAAACCGAGAGGCGAGGAACCAGCTTTAATGGAGTGAGTGGACCCTGGGTGTTAAGGGGAAATGCGAGGAAGGGAAATGCGTCCAGAAACTAGAGGTATTAGAAATGAGCTCATTGAGCTGCTTTGGGAGGCTCAGGAAAGGGGCTTTCCTTTTGCGCTTAGGTCCTTTATCCTCCTGGGCTGCTAACAGTTATACCTGAAAACAAACCCACCTCCACCCCTCACTCACCCTCTCCCCCCCCTTTTTTTAACGGTGAACCTCCAACCTGAGTGCAGATACGAAGTGATATAGTGAAGATACTACAAATTCACAGGAAAGTCCCACCTCCACAAAACCCGTTTTCACCCCTCTTGAGGGACCCAAGTCCTACTGGGATTTTTTTCCTTCACCAGATACCTCTGTCAGTCTCCCTTCTGTTTCTCCCTAACTCCCTCTCTCCTGCCCTCTCTCTCCCTTTCCCCCTCTCCCTCCCTCCAACTACAATACCCTGGGGATAAAGACACACCCTCTGTTGTCCTTTCTTAGGAGGTAGAGGGGTGTTTCTCAAACTTTGTTGTGCACACTGATCATCTAGGGAATCTGGTTAAAGTTCAGATTCTGTTCCAATTGGTCTGGAGTAGGGCCTGAGATTCTCCCTAAGTCTAATGGTGTGGCAGAGGCTGCTGATCCAAAGACCACATTTTGAGTTGCAGAACACAAAAAATATAAACCTGCTTTCTACTATCAGCTGAGCCACCATTTGTAAGATGATCTGAAATAACAAGTCACTGCGACACTGTCTTTCATGGGGTTTCAGCATGCTATGGAGGCCAAATAACTTAAAAACATGAACAGAGTGCAAAGGTATAAAATGCCCCATTTATACAATGCTGTCATTATTGTCATTAATCATTGCTCTTGATAAAATTATTAGGAATACTAATGGGGATGAAAGTATATAAAGATAACAGTAATTTGCTATATGTTCTCAAGAGAGCTCTAAAAAATAATCAGCAGTGACCACCCTGCAAACACATGGTCACTTAGAAGGAAAATGCTAAGTAACATCCTCTAAAGGTAGTCTATTCATCCTCTCAGCCAGTTGTTGACTTTAGCAGATAATGCAGCACTCTTCAAGTATGTATTATCAAGTATTTAAATCACTTTTCAAGCTAATAAAGAAAACCAGTAAGAGTAAATGCCAAGAAGAAAGAAATAAAAAGAGAAATATAGTAAATGCAATAAAAAATATGTTGTTTCAACTTAGCATGACTATGTTAGTTTGGTTTGATCCTCTCTCTACACATGCTTTCATCTGGATTTAAACACTCATCCTATCATTTTAGTTCACCAAGTGTTAAGTCTTTACCATGGTAAAGGCCTTCCCTAGGTTGAATAGAATCTGACACAGTTCCTGCTTTGAAAGAACAATTTACATATACCAATAAACACCATATTAGGCAGTCTATGGTGCCACAAGAGAATACCAAACACATTAGCACAGAGAGTTTAAAAGGCAGAGAGGTCTGGAGAGACTTCACAGAAGGAGAGTCATTCTAGACCAACCTTTAAATGTGATATGATTCCTTCAGGCAGAAGTAAAAAGGAAGGACACTCAAGGTGAAAGAGTAAGAGCAGAAACGTATGGGGAGTAGTGGACCCTTGGCCCAAACATACACTGCTTGGAAGTAGGTGGAAGAAACAGCTTGAAAGGTTGGCAGATGCTATGATTTCTACCCTAAGCAGTTTGTACCTCACTTTAAAAGTACTGAGCAGGGGACCACCACGATCAGAAATACAGCAAGAAGATTTGATAAAACAAGTTAAAGGGCTGAACTAGAAGCAGAAAATAGAGCTGTAGAAAGCACTTAGGAGGCAGTGGAAGCCACAGGTAAGGGATCATAAAGATAGAAACAATGATACCAGTTGTGGGAAATGAAATATAAAGGTCTTTAAAAGGAGACATAATTAACAGAAATATAGCACCTGTGTGGAAGAGAGATTTATTCAAGAGATCTCTAAGGTTTTACGCCTGCAGTACTAGAAATAGGTGACACCATTAAGAACTGAGAAGTCAAGAAGGAAACTTACAGTTGGTTGTATTTTTATGCTTATTGGGGAAAGGCTATCAGATAATCAATTTTCTTTGGACATTTTTAGTTAGAGGTGTGGGGGAGATATTCAGATGCAGTTGATTACACAGTTAGGAATAGAAGCCTTGCTTTGAGGAAATAGATACTGGGTTAGAGCCTGTGTTCACTTTCATTTTTTTTAGAGCCATGGGCATGTATATGGAGTTAATTGTTGGAGAATGTAAAGTTAGTGAGGTTGAAGAGAGAAAGAAACACAAAGTGCTTAGGAGAGGAGCTTAGAACTATGTCTCTTCCTGTTCCTCAGTCCCATCAGCATCCATGAGCCACAGATAAGAATACCCCCTGCATAAAGTTTTGAGGATTGAGACAGTGTACTGTTTTCTCACTTATATTTTTTGGCACTAACCTGACACATAGTAGCCTCTAAAAATGTTCACTGAATTAATAATTGGATAGAAAGAGTAAGAGACACCAAATCACAAACGAAAAGATGGGAAGAGATGGCTAAGTGGGCTCTATTATTTCAATGTCATGAAAACCAAATTAGGGAAAAGTTTTGTTACAGAAATGGAAATGACAACAGATAACAAACGGGACAGAGGTATTAAAGGAGAAACATTAAAACCACTGAGGAAGGTTTTAGATTTGTTTTGGAGGAGGATCTAGTTTTACAAATTTAATTGATTACTTTCAAGAATAGTGTTGCACAGAAAAGATATCACTATTATGAGTGGCAAAGGAATTAAAGAAGAATCTTAGATTATTCTTTAAAGAAATTTGACAATCAACTGAAGATGAAAGAGAGAGATTGGAGGTAGAGGGCTGATAGCAGGATTGAGGAAGGTTGTTCCTCTGTAGAAAAAGGAAAGTCCAAACATTGTTGATGAGGTTAAGGAGCCAAATGTGTGGGAAAAAAGTTCCAGGTGAGAGAAGGGGAGAATTGATTGAGCAATATGTGAAAAGAAAAACAGGACTAGTGAACCAAGAGTGTAGGTAATCAATCTTAACAGAGAAAAGGGTCACCTGTTCCTTAGAAGAAAGAACACAGGAATAGAAACAAGATGCACTGAGATTCTAAAGTGAAATGGCAGGATGTAAGAAAGGCTTACATTATCTTGTCCCTGGATCTCTAGGAGAACAGAGATGAGGACTTCTACTGAAGAAATAGCATTGTGAGCTAGAAAAAAGTAGAGAATATTTGGAACAAGTTTTGGCAGAGATATCACGGTGAATTCACAAGAGATGAGAAGATCACCAAGTGATCCTATAAGGTGGGAACCTATCTCAGAGGTAAAACATATATTTATTGTCATGAAGTTAATCAGCATTTTTGTTATTCTCCTAGGAAAATTCAAGGACAAAAGTACAGAAACAAAGTATGCAGCATGGCTTACCCGAGTTTAGTAAACAACAAAGTAGAAACTGTAAGAGATCCAACAATGAGAGGTTTCATGGGGTAGAACTTGAGAGGAGGGACTCTCAAGGTCTTTCAGACCTGGAGTTGGTTTGCCATGGAATGTGTGAGACCTTACACAATTTACCTAATCTCTCTGAGTTTCCTCAACTGTAAAACAGGGATAATGATAAGACTATTTTCCTTTCAGTTTTAGGCCTTTATAATAAAACGAGACAATATTGGTAAAGCAGCGGTTCTCAAACTAGAGCATTCAGCAGAATCACTTCGGGGGCTTGTCAAAACAGATTGCTTAGCCTCCCCCCAAGAGTTAGTGTATTACTAGATCTTAGATGAGTCTCAGAAATGTGAGTTTCTAAGAAGTTTACCAGGGATGTTTCTGGCCTAGAAACCACCCTTTGTAAACCCCTGTTGTAAAGCATTTAATATAATGCTTGGTACATAGTAAGTACTAAAAACACAGTAGTTGGTGTTTGGGGTTGGTGCTCACTTCAGGTATGACAGTTGAACATAGAGTTCAAGATGAAAAGGCAGTAAATGAAACACAAAGGTGAATAATGGACAGGGATTATAGGGAAAGACTGGTCAAGTTCACAAAAACACAGATTGTATTTAGTGTGGGAAAGAGTCAAGATCGAAATCTTGGACATCAATTTATGCTTAGCCCAACACTTTCCAAAATGGCGGTTTATAATAAAATGCCAAGGCCATAACAATTAAATCAGATAATGGAAAGAGAAAACTGGGTCAAGGAAGGACAGCAAAGCTGTCAGCAGTATGGGTCAACACCAATGCTGTGAATGAACACAGAGCCAGACTCTTGGCCTTGGAAGCCACTGAGATGTTACAAACTGTCATTGTCTGAAATGAAGATTTGTAAATCCCAGTCTCTCATGCTGTAAAAATTGCTCCTACTCCCAAAACTGAGGGAAATCTCACCCCTGAAACTTTGAGTAACTTGGAATTCATGTGGCTTCTTAAAGGGAAAGATTTACTACAAATCAAGACATAGTATTACAACACAATTAATAAAAAGCACTTCTGGGAGGGGTTCAGAAAATGTGCTCTAGATATTTAGCCTTCTAGTGATTCAGCTTTACCAACTTTAGGCCTCCCTATACTGAGCGCCTAGATTTTGTCAAATGCTGCAGGATGGTCTTCAACCTAGTAAAATCACTCTTCCAAGATGAGAAAACATGCTCAGAGAGTTAAAGTAACTTCCCTGAGATGGTACCTAATAAACTCCAATCTCTCTGATTAAAAAGCATATTTAGGGCGCCTGGGTGGCTCAGTTGGTTAAGCGACTGCCTTCGGCTCAGGTCAGGATCCTGGAGTCCCGGGATCGAGTCCCACATCGGGCTCCCTGCTCAGCAGGGAGTCTGCTTCTCCCTCCAACCCTCTTCCCTCTCGTTCTATCTCTCATTCTCTCTCTCTCAAATAAATAAATAAAATCTTTAAAAAAAAAAAAAAGCATATTTAATTTCCACTCTAAAATGTTGTCTCTAAAAAAGCAAAACAGAGTTAATAAATGCTGTCTGTCCACATTCCTTTTGTCTTAGGTTGGATTCTTCAGCAAACAAGACTCGGAGATATGGAAATTTGTGTGCAGGAAGTTTACTGGGGAGAGCCCTTGAGGTCAACACCTATGAGAGAGCTAAGGAAGAACTGAGTAAAAGGGAAAGCTGAAAAAAAGAAAAGGGGGGAAAGCTGAACTCCAGTGCAGTCTCAGCAAAGGCCTCCACCAACTCCACACAAGTTCTGGGCTGAATGGACCTTACAGAGTTATCCTGAACTGAGAACAGAGAAGCAGGTCTTTGTACTGTCACATCGATCTGACATTCCTCATGATCAGAATTTACTTCACAGAGAAGCCTGTAGAACTAACCTGCCCAAGTATTTGAGTATTTCATCATTACTGCTTTATAGCAACCCAAAGAAACCTATCTTGAATGCAGCAAGCATTATTTTGATAAGCATTATTATTTGCAAGGTACTGTGATGGGCACTCTGGGGGAACACAAATTTATTTAAATCACATGTCTGATATCATATAACTTAAATTTGAAGTACAATGAACTATAGAG